CCTTTGCGGGTAGGGATCCCTGTCTGTGTTAACTGAAGAGTTTGTGAGTATGTGTATATATCCCTTTACAGTAAATAAGGCCACAAAGATACAAGGCAAGTAGAAAAGGGCTGTTGAGCTATTATGCCGTTTCTTCATGAGTTCATCTGGGATATGCTGTCCAACCTGTTCTGGATGATGTTGCCTGGTAGACATTGCTAGTTTTGCTTTCTCTTATATATGACTTTTTTTCAATCTCAGGAATCCCAGAATTTTCTAGGGCAGAGAGGCATAACAGTCATGGGCTGGTTATTCTTAATTTTGCCTACTTCCAAAAATCCATGATATAGCTTTGGCTAGCTTTTGTTTGCCAGTTTCAACCATACCTGCTATTGCAGGGGCTGGTAATACTGTGATCATGGAAGCCATATATTATACACACAATTGAATAAATAATAGCTTAGTTATTCACTAGTTAAATTTGTGTGCATGAATATGTATTAGATACTACAAACCTGTATGTTCTGTCTGAGTGGCATATCTAGTGAGATTTCCCTTCTGGATTGTAACAAAATACTTGTGCTTTGTAGAGGAGACTATTGCTTTTATCAGTGCCGTCATCTGTCCTATACATGATAGTCGGTTCATAATAAAGCCTGAGGATTGGGTATGAGAAAGACAGAGACTTGTAGCTGAGATAGAGAAGCACCAAAGCATACATAAGGAGGACATCCTGGGGGGGGGGGAAGGGAAAGAGAAATTGCAAAAATATCTACATTAAAATCTCACTTTCTGCATTATGCTTCTTTTTTCCCAAGCAAAAATTAATTTAGATGGAGGACAACTGAATAAACAACTGGGTAAGAATTATTAGAATAAATAGAGTTTGGTACACACAATGACTTGTCAGTTATTTATCTGTAAATATCTAGGGTTTTTTCCTTAATTTCTTTTACTCTAGCATTTGGTGCTCCTTAAAGAGGGAGACAACAATGAAGTACAGGAACATTAAATTTGAGCACCCTCCTTGCAAGGTGTACTAATGGTTTTCATTCTTGTAACAACTTCTCAAATTCTGTGTGTACTGATGAGGTCAGAAGCCAGTTCACAGTGCAATGATGCAGAAATCACAGCTATACAATGATGTAAACTGTATTGCCCTTATGTCTGTGTGTCTTTCTGTTGTTGTTAGCTGCCCTGGAGGCTACATTGACTCATGGTGACCCTATGAATGAAACATATCCAAGCCCCAGTATCTGCTCTGTTTAGGTCTTATAGATTCAGGCACTATTTGAGTCTAGCTATCTGGCATGTGGTCTTCCTCTCTTTCTACTGCCTTCTACCTTTTTTTAAGCATTTTTGTCTTTTCTAATGAGTCATGATTCTTATGATGTGGCCAAAGTATGACAGCATCACTTTAATCAACTTGGCTTTCAGAGAGAGTTCAGGCTTGATCTGTTCAAGGA